GCAATCCATATCGCGACCGAGCCTGATTGGTCAACATGCCAGGTTTCCTTTGTTCTATAGGGTTCACTGATGATGACAGCGTCTGCTCTTTGTTCAAGAACCAATTGGTCCAGCAGGTCATCAGCTACCCTACTCCTGTTCATATTGCCTTGTATAAATTTGATCATATTCTCCCAAGCTTTGTCTTAGCCTCAGCAAGGGCATCCCTGAAGGCCTTGCACGCTCCCGACCCGGGCAGGTGATGGGCATTTTTCTGTCCATCTCCTGCCGAGCACAGGTAGCAGCTTGTGCTTTCTTTACACGCAGAGGCATGAACTGCTTCTGTCTGGGCCTTTGCATGCCGCCTTTTTGTGGCCATACCCCAGACAGCGGAAACACCTTTGGACATCCGCGCGCTCTCGGACGCGGCAGATAATCCAACCTACTCGCAGCTTCCCCTTTCCAATAAGAGTCCGGCCTGGCAGTTCGTCGATTTCCACCACAGCCATTCTTTGTTCTCGCGAGTTTACAGCGAGGAGAGAGACGCGAAGTTGGCCATTCATCTTGTCTCCTAACTCCCCGCGTATAGCGTTCTCCACTTCTGGGGCCGTGGTTAGGCAGTCCATGCCCAGAACTTCTAGACGTAAACGTCTAGTGAGAATACGGGCGTCTCCAAGCTGGCCAATGGCAGTGCACACATTTTCCTTAAATGCTGAGTGGTTGCCACAGCGCTCCATTTCGATGAGCACGCCGCCTTCGCGGGTTTTCCGAACAGATCGAATTACGGTCTCCGTCTTCTCGGGTTGGAGCTTACCGCGTATCGTTCCCAGCAGCTCTGCATAGGTTTTGCCTTCAGCTGGCTTAATTATTAATTTGGCAAGACTCTTCTTTTTTCTCACCCTCTTCTTTTTTTTGCGGCTGGTCGCCTCGCCCTTATTGACCAAGGGTTCACCAGGCGCTGGCCCTGGCTTGGGCTTTCTGCTTTTTCCAACCGTTTTCCATTGATAGTCTGGTACGGTTTTCTGTGCATTGTTGTTATTATTGCCATTATTATTAGGATTATTAATAACAATGTTTTTACTACTATTATTATTATTAGCAGTAGTATTTTTTTTCTTTTCCGGCTCGCCTGTAGGGGAGTCGGATCGAGTTCGACCTCTCTTTTGCTAGCCAGGGCCAGCCTTCCGCAGCTCGGAAAGGGTAGGCCCCTTCCGGCGCTGCTCTCGGAGGTAGCTTAATATATTTAAGCTCTCCTCGATTTGGGCCATACCTGTCTTTATGTCCATGGACACATTCTTTTGCTTAGACACAGCGCCCTGCATCTTCTTCAAGACGAGCCGAATCTGGGCCAATTGCTCATCTTCATTGCCTTCGCAAGTTCCCTAGCTTGCGGCGACATGCTTGTCGCTGTTTGCAGCAGCCGGCGTTTGAAGACGACTATCCCGGCTGCCGGGAGTTGCCGTTTGGCAAGGTGTAGCCTTCTGCGCCACGCCGGCGGCTTTCTCCGTGCTCGTGGGGCCAGAATTTGCCTGCAGAGGAGTTTGTGGCGGGGAGCGCACGACACTACTGCTCTTCCTGAATGCGCTGCATTCTTCCTCCGTGTCATCGACGTTGGTTCCATTTATTGGTTTTGTTTTAATCATTTTCAATCAATTGGGTCTACGCTTCAAGCCGCTATCTCCACACGTAGCACAGTCGCTTTTAAGTGTCCCGAAGTTCCCTTCTCTCAAAGGAGCAGGCCATCGCGAGGGTTGACACAAGTCCTTATGGGATATTGTGTTCAGAGCCAAGACAGCGCAAAACCAGGAGTAAATCTCAACTGGACCTGTGCGGCCAACTAAATGGCGACGTGTATTGAACGTACTTGAAGACCTGCCAGGGCTTTAGCGAGACGGAGCCGATTGCAGCATTAGCCCACCAGCCATTTCTGTGAGGTGTCACCCTCACATACTAAAGTGGCGGAATACTGCTCTCGCCAGCCCAATATCAGACTAATCGTATACATGCTCCAGTATGCCATGAACAGGATCTAACTGGTCTCAATCCTAGGATGCTTTTTGGGGGGCGGCATCTGTTCGCCCGGACACAGGATATTCATCAAGCATTTCTGATCTCTTAAATCAGGCCCTAGTCTCCTGCCGCTCTTGGTCTGGGACTGCTTATTGCTTATTCGCAGCTAACCTACCGGAGTAGGCCGTCCACGATCCGCCCTGTGTGACCCCGGTAAGGTCCTGAGCTTAGCCCTTTTTTTTTCGTAGGAGAGGGAAATGCTTTATGCACTGGCCGGGGGCGCTAGTCTCTATACTACCTTCCCCGAGTATGGGACTCCCACCGAAGCGTGTTGGGCTACCCACTAAAACCCAAACTCCCACCGCCCGCGCAAGAATCCCGCATCTGGCACCGCAATTCTGCATGTCTTCAGATGCAGGAGCACGCTGTTAGAGCCTTGGGGCTGCTCTTTTGTAGGGGCGTTTCATTCGGGTGTCCTCAGTAGACAACCGTCCTCTCGTTTGCAGCGGAGTACGAATTTCACGTATCTCGCAACTGCTTCCCACTTTTCTGCGCTGGAAATCATTATCCCAACTATGTTGTCCGGAGTAATGTCTCCGTGTCTTTCTTCCAACATTCTGCGCGAGATCAAGAAGTGTTCGCAGGTGAAGAATGTGTGGTACACGTTATCTTCGACGTTTCCACAGTAGTGACAGAACGGTGAGTCCACCCTTCCCATTCTATGAAGATATTCTCGGAAGTAACCATGACCGGTGAGGAATTGCGTCAGGTAGAAATCGACTTCCCCATGTGGTCTGTTCAGCCATGTTTGAAGGTCGGCTATCAGGGAGTGTGTCCATCGACCTTTTGTGCTCGCGTTCCAGTTTTGTTGCCACTGCTGGATCAGTTGCTCGCGCGCCCTTGCCGCGGCAGCTGCTCGACCTATCTCGGCACTGAGATTGTAAATCTCTTTTCGCTCGTAAGCAAGTAGCTCAATTGGCATGACGCCAGAA